AGGGCTTTGAGCTTTCAAAGCAGGCACTCTACTGCTTGTACCACACTTCCAGTCCATTTTGATCTGGTTAGTTTGGAGATGGGATTCTCATTAACTATTTCCCCTGGCTGGCCTCAAACCTCAATCCTCCCAATTTCAGCCTCCCAAGTAGCTAAGATTACAGACATGAGCCACAGGTGCCCAGCTCATCAACGGGTCATAATAAGTAAAATGGCAATGAGGTGCTGATTAAAAGGATGAATCCTTTTCCCTGAAGAGATGTGCAGACAGGCAGTGTTACATACACCTTGAAAGATCAAAACTGGGTCAGAGCCCACCCACAGGCAGGATTCAAAACTATGGAGTCTGCAGCCCATTTGGCCTCCCCAAGGAGAACGAGCCAGTGGTGTCATTGCACTTCACAGATGAGAAAGCCAAAGGGACTTGCATGCAGTCACATGACAAGGGTGGCAGAGATGGGACCAGACCAACCACTCATGAGACAACCACTGAGTCTCACTAGGCTGGGCATCAGACCCAGGCCTCACCCAGGTGCTCTGACTCTAAACCCCATTGCTGTCTGCAGATGGACAGAAAGCCAGCTTCCCTGTCACTCTGTGCATCTGGTCAGATGTCATCTCGTTAGGATCCTGGTCCAAATGCCTGCATTTCTGGCCTTCCTCACTTTAGACAGTAACTGTGTTGGACCTGAGTGAGACACAAACGCCAGTCACTGTCACTCACAGTGTCCCTCGTCTAGGCTAACCTTGCAGAGGGTAAGCCATTCCCAAATGGAAGGGACAGTTTTCCAAGGGAAGGGAGCAGAAGGGGCTAGGGGGTGTCTTACCTCAGCTACCTGAGATGGAAGCTTCCAGAGGTGACAGCGTGGGGCTGTGGGAGCTGAGAAAGGCTTGCACTGTCTGTCACCTACTCGTGACCAGCTTTGAGAGCTGGCTGCTATCCTGTTGCCTCTGTCCAGGTATGATGTTGACCACTCAGAAGAGGGCATCTGTCTTAGGGAAATGCCCCTTTGCAGCCTCCCTGGGGTGGGTCCCTCTCTATGTCTAGAGCACAAGAGTTTTGTCCTGTATCTCAGGAGACGTGAATGCAGGTCTAGTTTTACCGTTAATTTGCTGGTGACCTTGGCAGGGTTACACGCCTACTCTGGCTGCTCAGTGGTAAAATGATGAATTGGGTGAGGAGAGAGGCTTTCTGTCTGTTCCTCAGAGCCTGCTGGTTTCTTGGAGGAAAGTGGGGCCCTGTTTTATGAACAGCAGTGCTGTCAATTATGGAAAGGTCTACTCTCTTAAAAATCCAAAATCTGGAATGGGTGCCAGTGGCTCACACCTGTAATCCTAGCTACTCAGAAGGCAGCGATCAAGAGGATCTCAGTTCAAAGCTAGACTCAGGCAAATAGTTCACAAGACCCTATCTCAAAAAAAACCCATCACAAAAAAGAGCTGGTGGAATGACTCAAGGTGTAGGCCCTGTTCAAGCCCCAATATTGCAAAAAAAAAAAATCTAAAATCTGGAGGTGTGGCTCAAGTGATAGAGCACCTGCTTAGCAAAGGCAAAGTTCTGAGTTCAAATCCCAGTCCCGCAAAAAAGAAATCTAAGTTCTGCTGAATTATAAGAAGTCTCGCCATTTATTGAGTTCTTATGACATGCCAGGCATTGTTTTCCCTCAGAGGGGCTGGGGATCAAATCCAGTGTCTCGCGAATGCTAGGCAAGCATTCTACCACTGAGTTACATCCCCACTGTAATTCTTACATGGTAGAGTTGTGTGGGTAAAATTAGGTTAAGGCTGGGAGCAGTATTTTGTAGAACTTAACTTGCATAAAACATTACTTAGTATAATTACTGATGTGGTGGAGGACAGATGGGTGTAGAACCTGGACTAGTTGCTCTACGGGCAAAGCAAGGCTGGGAGGGTCGTGGGAGATGGCAGTTTTGCAGGCTGGGGAAAGGCTTCACTAGGCAGAAGAAGGTCAAGAAGGAAGGTGAGCTAGGCAAAGGACCATGTGACAAAGGCCCAGCAGCAGAAGGCAAAACTCAGAACTCCTGGGCAGCGGGAGCTGCCTGGGGCTCCAAGAACTGCAGGCAGCACAGCACCGGTCCAGGCCACCAACAGGACAAAATGTCAGATATTCTTTTGCCAATCCAATTGCAGTGAAACTTGCATTTCTGTGTCTACTGTGGAGGCAGATCACCCTTTCAAAGGATGGTCCATTTCTCTTTCTTATTTGTGGTTTCTCTCCTTTTTTCTTAAGTAACTTTGCCTGAGGATATCTGTTTTATTAATTTTCCAAAGGATTAGCTTTGGTCCTTGTCAGTTCTTCCTTCCCTCTATTGTTTTCCCAAGTCATTGATTTCTGCTCTTATTATTTCTTTATTTCATATATAAATAGTCTTGCTCTGTAGCCCAGGCTGGTCTTGAACTCTCAATCCTCCTACTTCCTTCTACTGAGTGCTGGGATTACAAACCTGCACCACCATGCCTGGTTTTCTCTTACTATTTGCTCTGATTATTTCTACTTTCTGCTGTCCTTGGATTTATGGTGGTGGTGTTTTTCTAATATCCTGAGTTGGGTAGTTGGTTCATTGGACTTTTTTCCTTTCTACTGTGAACATTTAGAGCTCTGAGTTTTCCTCCCCATCACTGAAGTCTATCCCCCAAATTTTATTGTGTTGTAACTTCATATCATTCAATTCTATGACTTTATGATTTTTAACTCAGGATTTATTTAGAAGTACATTTTTATGGCTTTGTACCTGCAAATTTGTTAGTCATATTTTTAAAGTTCTTGCTTTCTAAATAAGTTGCATCTGGTCAGAACATGATTTGTATATTACAAATATATTTTGCTTTTTTTTTTTTTGGCGGTACTGGAGTTTGAACTCAGGGCCATGCACAGGGACAGGCACTCTTCCAGCCCTTATTACTCTGGTTATTTGGAAATAGGGTCTCACTCTTTCAGTCTTTGTCCAGGCTGGTCTGGACTGGGATCTTCTTATTTTATACTTCCTGCCGTAGCTGGAATGGCAGGTGCACATCACCACACCCAGCTTTTTTCTATTGAGATGGAGTCTCACAAACTTTTTTGCCTGGGTTGGCCTAGAACCACTATCCTGATCTCAAACCTCCTGTGTAGCTTCGGATGAAAGGTATATGCCACCAGTAACCATTTACTGGTTGAGATGGGGGGGGGTCTCAAGAACTTTTTGCTCTGGCTGGCCTCAAACCATAATCCTCCAGATCTCAGTCTCTCAAGTAGCTAGAATTTCAGGTGTGAGCTACCAGTGCCAGGCTATTAGGGATTATTATTATTATTATTGATATTTATGTTTCACCTAGCACTTAGTCTGTTTTGGTAAGAGTCCACATTTGCTTCAAAAAATGTGTATTCGCCAATGATTTGGTGCTGAAAACCATATATGACTTTTATATCAAGCCCATTAGCTGCATATTCATATACTGTACATCCTTACTAATTAATTTGTGTATGAAGCTGGGCCTAGTGGTACACACCTGTAATTCCAGCACTCAAAAGCTGAAGCAGGATGATTCAGAATTTGAGCCAGTTAGGCTATAATAGCAAGTTCAAGGCCAGTTAGGGCTACAAAGAGAGACCTTGCTTTATAAAAAAAAAAAAATGTTATCTACTGGAACAGGTGCCAGTGGCTCATGCCTGTAATCCTAACTATTCAGGAGGCAGAGATCAGGAGGATCACGGTTCAAGGCAAGCCCAGGCAAATAGTTCTCAAGACTCCCATCTCCAAAATAACCAGAGCAAAATGGACTGGAGGTGTGGCTCAGTGGTAGATTGTCTGCTTTGCAAGTGCAAAGCCCCGAGTTCAAACCCCAGTCCCACCAAAAAAAAAAAAAAAAAAACTCCAGCATTTGGACCAGCATGATGGTACATGTGTGTAATCCCACTTGCTGTCTCCTTGTGGAGATAAGAGGGACAAGATCCAAGGCCCTCCTGGGCAAAACTTTCAAAAACTTTGAGAAAAGTTTCTTTTCTGAAAAAGGAAAGAAGACTAGAGCATGGCCTAGCAAGTGGCTGGCCTTGAGTTCAATCCCCAGTCCCACCAATAAATAAATAAATGAATTAAAAATCACTCATTCTAGACTTCCCTTTTTGAGACAACCCACTTTCAGTCTACTGAAAGTGTATGCCTTTCCTTTACTATCATTTTCACTGGAAAAAATAAAAGACAAAACAAAAACAAAGCTAAAAACCCAGATTCCTTTTCTTCTCAGTTTTTTCTCTTGGTTTTTGTTCTTTAGGGGTTTCCCTTACTTACAAAAGACATCTCAGGATTTGTCTTTTGGGGGAAAAAACACCAAAAATCTTGCGAGTTAACCTGGTATTGTGGTGCACAGCTGTAATCTCAGCACTCAGGAGGCTGAGGCAGTAGGATCACAAGTTTGAAACCAGTGTAGGTAACATAGAGTGACCCTGTCTTGAAAAATGAAGAAGAAGAAAAACAGCTTATGGGTCACTTCCACTTGTTGCATTCTGATGACTGGTTCCCCCTTGGAGAGCAAACTAAAGGGCAACTCAATCTAATTTTTGTGTGTGTGTGTGGAACTGGAACTTGAACTCAGGGCGCAGGTGATTTACTGCTTGAGCCATACCTCCAGTTCATTTTGCTCTGTTTTTTGTTTGTTTGTTTGGGACAGTACTGGGATTTGAACTCAGGGCTTTGCACTTGCTAGGCAGGTGCTCTACCACTTGAGTCACTCTGCCAGCCTCAACTAGCCTCAAACCGTTATCCTCCTTGCTCTGATTATTTTGGAGATGGAGTCTCTTGAAGTATTTGCCTGGGCTGGGCTCAATCTACAATTCCCCCAGTCTCTGCCTCCCAAGAAGCTAGGATCACATGCATGAGCCACCCAGCCTGGCTTAAATTGATTTTTCAACATGGAATCCCTCTGCACAGGGGAAAATTGGAATTGAGTCAGTTCTCAGGTGAGGTCATTACTGCGCGCATTGAAACTGTCTTCTTATTGCAGCAAAGCCTTTTGAGCCAGGCAGGCAGAAGCCAAAGGGCTCACCCCATGGAGGGATGCCGAGGGATGGAGACAGCCAACGGCTCTGAGGTTGCTTTCAACCCCATGAAGCAGTACATGATCCTGAGTGGTCCTGAGAGGGTCGCTGTTGCAGTGCTGTGCACCCTGCTGGGCCTGCTGAGTGCCCTGGAGAACTTGGCCGTGCTCTTCCTGATCATGTCCTCCCGCCGGCTCCGCAGAAAGCCCTCATACCTCTTCATCGGCAGCTTGGCAACAGCTGACTTCCTGGCCAGTGTGGTCTTTGCCGGCAACTTCATCAATTTCCATGTCTTCCAGGGCGTGGATTCCAAGTATGTCTTCCTGCTGAAGATTGGCAGCGTGACCGTGGTCTTCACAGCCTCTGTGGGCAGCCTGCTGCTGACCGCTATTGACCGCTACCTCTGCCTGTGCTACCCACCTACATACAAAGTTCTCCTCACCAGAGGGAGGGCCCTGGTGGCCTTGGGTGTCATGTGGGTCCTCTCGGCAGTGGTCTCCTACCTACCACTCATGGGATGGACTTGCTGTCCCAGTCCCTGCTCTGAGCTTTTCCCACTGATCCCCACTAGCTACCTGCTGGGCTGGCTGCTGTTCATTGCCATCCTCTTCTCTGGCATCATCTACACCTATGGGCACGTCCTCTGGAAGGCCCATCAGCACGTAGCCAGCTTGGCTGAGCACCAGGATAGTCAGGTGCCAGGAGTGGCTCGGATGAGGCTAGATGTGAGGTTGGCCAAGACCCTGGGGCTGGTACTGACTGTGCTGTTCATATGCTGGTTCCCTGCACTGGCTCTCATGGCCCACAGCCTGGTCACCACACTGAGTAACCAGATCAAAGAGGCCTTTGCCTTCTGCTCCATGCTGTGCCTTGTCAACTCCATGGTCAATCCTGTCATCTACGCCCTGAGGAGTGGGGAGATCCGCTCCTCCGCTCATCATTGCCTGGACCACTGGAGGAAGCACCTGCAAGGCCTTGGGTCTGAGGGAAAAGAAGAAGCCCCAAAGTCCTCTGTCACTGAAACGGAGGCTGATGCACAAGTTACCCCAGGGCCGGGTAACAAAGGCTTGGACTGCTGATAACACCTCTTTCCCAACTGTAAACAACCCAAGTCAGACATCAGTTTGCTCTCCAAAGGAGAGTGAGGAGGACCAGTCCCAGGGGACTGGACACTGACCCCTTTTTGCTGAGGAGGGCTGAGACTCATTCCTGGAGGGTATGTGGCCATGCCGGCCTGCAGATCCTGGCCCAAAGTCCAGGGTCTGGGCCCAGCTCAGGTGCAGCAGGGCAGGAAAACCTTCCTGACCAGTAGCTTAGTGCCTGTGTCCTCCAGAGACCACAGAAGCCGGAGGGGCCTTCAGGGCTGGCAGTGAGGGACTCAGGGGAGACCCAGGAAGAAGAGGGACTGCTCTCCTGGGAGTTCTGGGTACCCTGGCCAGTGCCTTCTTGGCCTGCGGCTTATCGGTTTCCATGGCTTCCAAGGCATGGATTCCTGGGATATCTTCCTGCTGAGGATTAGCCATGTGACTGTGACTAGTCAGTTCTTGCTCCTGCTCAATTAGCAGGGCCTTCTTGGTTATGGAGCTATAAGAGGCCCCACTTGACTTCAGGGTCACCCTTGTCCCAGAACAGTGGTGTGATGGAGATGGAGGGCATTGACCCACCTCTTCCAGCGATAAATGACAAGTCTTCAGTTTGGGGCATGTGATTGTTTAAGTCAGAATCCTTCTGACCCTCACTTCTGTGAAGGAGTCAGTGACCCAGCCACGGTGACCTCTGAGGTCCCTGGGAAGCCCAGAGGAGCCTGGAGATGACTGCTTAGAAAATTGTGCTGACCCTGTGGTGTCCTGCTGAGTGGTGCTACCAGGACCAACCAGTGTCCCAGTCTGTAGAAAAAAAGAAGACATTTGCAAAGACTAGACATTCACTCTAAGTCCCCAGAGTGTTCCTAGTCCCCCTCCCTCCAGTTCAGCCCCTTTGCTTCCTCTGCACCTGTAACACATTGCTGAATAACCAGGAGGAGGGGAAAGTCCCTGCCATGTCCCAGGCGCAGGGTGGGCTGACATTCCTCAGTCCATCGTCCATTAGCCCAGCAGAGCACAGCCCCATAAGACCAAAGATCCCAGAATGCCTGAATTTTACATCTTGGGGGTGCTAGGTTCCCATCAGACCAGGAGGCAAGAGAAAGTGTTCGTGGCGTGCAGATTGCAGATAGCTGCTAGCACCAGCATTGGAAACCGCAGATGCAATAAAGGATACTGATTAAACATGTCTTCATTCTATATTATCAAGACAAAGCGCCCCCTGTCCATTTACCCTTCCATCGGCTCTGTGCGTGGTCCTGGATAGCCAGCCATAAAGGAGACTCCACCCGGTCTCATGGGCCTTGCAGTCTACACTCGGATAAGAAGAGAGAGTTAGTAAGTAAATAAAGAAGAGACTTCCAGGTGTATACTGAAGGAGACAGGCAAAGTCATGTACTACGGATCCACAGAGACAATTTTATTTTTTTATTTTTTATTTTTTTAAATTTTTTTGGCGGTACTAGGGTTTGAACTCAGGGCCTCACACTTGTTAGACAGGTGCTTTACCACTTGAGCCACTCCACCAGTCCAGCCATGAACACTTTTCTTTTTCTTCTGTTTTTGCAGAGCTGGAACTTAAATCCAGGGCCTCAAGCATACTAGGAAAGTATTCTACCACTGAGCTACATCCCAGGCCCCACAGAGACAACTTTAGGCAGAATAGACCTACTATGTGCTTTAGGCATACGTGCTGTGACTTTTTTTTTTTTTTAGTGGTGGAGGGGATTAAACTCACAGCCTCATGCATACTAGGCAAGTGCTGTATCATTGAGCTACACGGCCAGCACAGCCGAGTGCTTTTCAATGCCTTGCTTCACTTAGTCTTCACAGTAAGCTGAAGAGAAGGTCTTGGTACCTGCATTTTATAGATGATGAAACTTCAAACAGGAAAAATCACTTGCCTGAGGTCATAGGGCTAATAATTATAGTTGTCCCTTTGTACCCAAGGGGGAATTAACTCCAGTACTCCTCCCCTTCCTATAGATATCAATCTTCTCAGAGTTGCATGCCGATGGCTCGCTCCTGTAATCCTAGCTACTCAGGAGACAGAAATCAGGAGGATCATGGTTTGAAGCCAGCCTGGACAAACAGTTTGAGAGACCCTATCTCAAAAAAAAACCCATCACAAAAAAATGATGGTAGAGTGTCTCAAGGTGTAGGCCCTGAGTTCAAACCCCAGTAATATATATATATATACACACACATATATATGTATATGTATTTTTATATATATATAGGATTCAAGTCCCATATATCTAAAGGTGCAGTATTTGCATAGAGCCCACACAATCTTCCCTTAAACTTACATCATCTCTGGATTACTTACAGTACAATGCAAATGCTAAGTCAGTAGTCCTGCTGTATTGTGCAGGGAAAAAGGACAAGAGAAAAGTCTACATACAACCAGTACTGCTGCAATTTTTTGAGGAATCCTTTTGACCTGTGTTTGGCTGTATCCATGCATGTGGAACTGGAGGTCACATAGGCTGACTGCCAGAGTTGGGATTTCTGACCTGGTTCTATTTGTCTCCAAAGCCTGTCCACTAACCGCTCACCTCCCAGCCAAGTTCTGCTTGAATTTTGTATTCTGTAACATCAGATTGCTTCAACCTTAATTCCGTTTCTCAACATACTTCATTTCATGCCAGTATAAATTTCCTGTAATAAGTGGCTTTAAAAAAAAAAAAAAAAACGGAAACTGCCAAGTGCCGGAGGCTCGCACCTGTAATCCTAGCTACTTGGAAGGCTTCGGCTAGTGGTTCAAGGACAGCCCAGGCAAAATGGAGTACCTGCTTTGCAAACTCTCCATGCCCAGAGTTCAAACCCCAGTCCCACCAAAAAGAAAAACCTGGAAATTTATTCCTCTCAATTCTGGAGGCTAGAAGCCCACAGTCAAGGTGACAGCAGGGCTGTGCTTCCTACACAATTTCAAGGGCAGGAATTTTCTTTGCCTTCTCCAACTTCTCGTGGCCCCTGGTATCCTTGGCTTGTGGCAGCATAGCTCCCATCTCTGCCTGTACTTTCATATGGCCATTCCCCCTGTGCCTCTTGGTGTCTTTTTTTTTTTTTATAGACACCAATTGTTGGATTTAGGAGCACCCCAGTCCAGTATGACCTCATTTAATTAATTTCATTTACAAAGCCCATATTTGCAAGTAAGACCACACTCAGGTTGCAGGTCGACATGAGGCTTTGGGAGACATGATTCGTTCAATCAAGCACAGCCCCTAAGTGCAAAGTCCACCCATGGATTTGTAACATGACAGTCACTAGCTTGTCCCCTAAGATGAGCTCCATGTTCTCTTCTGTATCCCCAGTGCTCAGGAAGGACTCAGTCAGCATATATGAGACTAAACTGTTTCTGAAAGGCTCTGATGTGCATTTTGGAAGATAAAGTTTTGTTTTCACCCACATTTATCTCTCTGTAAGGCAAAGAAATGCCATAGTTTTTCCCAGGGTCTCGGATCGAATCCAGGGCATTCTGCATTCTAGGTAGATGCTCTACAACTGAGGTATACCCCAATCAAAATTAATTTGTTTGTTTATTTGTTTTGATACAGGGTCTCACTATGTAGCCCAGGCTGGCCTCAAACTCAAAATCCTCCTACCTCAACCTTGCAAGTGCAGGAATTACAAGCATACACTATCATTCCTGGCTAAAATGACATTTTTATTTTCTTTTGGCGGCACTGGGGTTTGAAGTCAGGGCTTCACGCTTGTTAGGCAGGTGCTCTTACCACTTGAACCACTCCTCCAACCCTGCCATACATTTTTAAAAGTGAATTTTCATGTTCACTATTGGGTTTCCTTAAAGTTGGAACAATGCCTGTCTTTATTCCTTGGTGACGTCTTTTCTCATTGTGGCAAAGGAAATTCCAAAGTGCCTGGCACAAATTGGCACTCAGTAAATATTTGTTGGATGAATAAACCTAGATTTTAAAACGCTGAGTATTGTGGTTCATGTCTGTAACCCCAGCTACTTGGGAGGTGGAAATCAGATTAAGGCTCAAAGGCCAGCAGGAGCAAAAAGTTGGTGAGACCCCATCCCAATCAATAAGCCAGGTGTGATGGCTCTCACCTGTCACCCCAGCTACAAGGGAGTATAAATAAGAGGATGAAAGTTTCACACCAATGCGTAGGGGCAGGAAACACAAGACCTTCTTTGAAAAATAACTAAAGCAAAAAGGGCTGGGGGCATGGCTCAAGTGGTAGAACACCTTCATGGCAAGTGTGAAGCCCTGAGTATTATTTTTTTTTAAAAAAATTGAATTAAGGGCACTTTCACACTTTCTACTTCTCATACTCTATTCTTACTTGAAGTCAAGATGCAGAATTTATGGGGGTGAGGGGAAAGCAAGGCAGGGAAGGAGGTCCTGGTATCACTGAGAAAAGTCCTTATTGTGTAGATGAGGAACCAGCCTGGACAATACTTGCCCAGGGAGGCCAAGGTGATGTGTCCAGTGCAAGACAGAACATCCAGTTCTGTCCACTCTCCCACCAGGCTTCTCACTTGCCTCTGCAGGGTGACATTTTGGTTATGCAGATAAGGACAAATGAAGGTCACAGAATCTCATTTTATATTCCCCAAGACGAGTTCTGTGTGTCCAACACCATACACTCTGGGGCTGATTATTATATGTATATGGGTGAGTTGTTGGTTTTGTAAGTTGTCTGTCTGTGCTTACTGTTGTAACAATATTTCAACATAATCTTTTAGAGGAAGAAACACAGAAGATAAAGAGAACAGTACAAAAAGATGAAACCAAAGCCACCATTTCCTTAGATTTCCAAAATGAGGAAGTACTTGGTTCTGTCAACATAGGCTCTGACTTCCCCAAGGGACCAGACAGAAGTGGGTGGAGAGACACAGATTCTGAAGCTGTGAAGTCTTGAATTCTGGGTCCCACCTTTGGTCCAAACTAGCTGCATGATCTTGGGCAACTGCCATCCCCTTTCTGGGTCTCAATTTCCTCCTCTGTAAACCCGGAAGGGTAGGGACAGGAGTTTTCCGAGGCCTTTCCAACTCTGCTGCTATTCTCTGTGAGGGCTGTCAGCACCTTGGTGTCACGTGACTTCTGATTTGCATATGCCCCACACCACTGTTCTCACCTGACTGAGCATGGAGGACATGTACCAACTGTAGAGAATCAGGTGACTTCCCTGCAATACAAGGCTCACACAGATACTTCTGGGGTCAGGGTCTCTGTGTTTATGTGTGTGTGTGATACTGGGTTTGAACTCTGGGCCCCATGCTAGGCAGGTGCTTTTCCAGTTGAGCCACTCTGCCAGCCCTGCCAGGGTCTCTTGACTCTCAATTTTCTGGCTCTGATATTCTAAAATACCTTAGTGGCTAAATGATCCTGCATGGGTCATTTTTGTTGTTCATTTGGGGGTTTTGGTGGTGCTTGGGATCAATCCAGGCCTCCCACAGGCTAGGCAAGCTCTCTGTCCCCCATGCCCTAAGTCCTGCTTTTCCAGTTACATGCTAAGCTCTTTGAAATGCCTCAGAATTCCCAAAACAAGCGCCATAAACATTAGACAGGCAAAATGATCATATCCCTCTTTCAAAATTCATTTTTCTCCCTCTTCTCTCCTCACAATACTTCTTCCTATCACATCCTTCTACCTAGTGATTTCTGCCAGAGCTATTGCAACAGCCCTCCAGTCTGTATGCCCACTTCAGAGCTAAAAAGCTTCCTATTGCTCCCCGTTGCCCATTAAATAAAACTCATGATCTGGCTTTGGCCACCCCTGAAGGACTGATGCAACAAAATGGACCACACACTCAAAGTCCTCTCCCCAATTTTTATTTATTAATTTGGGTGGCACTAGGGTTAAACTCACATGCTTGCAACCTACCACTTAAGCCACTCTACTAGGCCTTTTTTGTGACAGGTTTTTCGACATATTTGCCTGGAGCCGGCTTGGAACCGCAATCCTCCTGATCTCTGCCTCCTGAGTAGGTAGGATTACAGGCGCGAGCCACTGGCGTCAGGCTACACTTCCTCGATTTTAACCCCGCAGTAAGAGTCCTTGGGAAAAAGTGCGATCGACGCTTCCTTGCGTCTTTCTCCCTTTGAACACCAGAGGGCGCTCCAGAGAACAGACAATCCAGAGAGGAAGCGGCTCTGGAAATCAAGTGCTCGGAGTTGACCCGCCCCTTTTTCCCTTCCTGAGCCAATCGTTAACCAGACGGGCGTGGCCGCGAGCCTGCGCCTGCGCGTTAAGAGGGGGCGGGGCAGGGGCAGCCGCAGAGATGCGGGAGCCTGAGGGTAGGTTGTGTGCGGCGGGCCTGGTGCTGCTGCTGGTGCTGGCAGTAGCCCAGTCGGCGTTCCGGTTCCCGCGCCGGTACACCCCGGATTGGCGGAGCCTGGACTCCCGGCCGCTGCCGACCTGGTTCGATGAGGCCAAATTCGGGGTGTTCGTGCACTGGGGCGTGTTCTCGGTGCCGGCTTGGGGCAGCGAGTGGTTCTGGTGGCACTGGCAGGGCCAGCCGCAGCCCCAGTACCAGCGCTTCATGCGCGAAAACTACCCGCCCGACTTCAGCTACGCCGACTTCGGGCCGCAGTTCACCGCGCGCTTCTTCCAGCCGGACGACTGGGCCGACCTCTTCCAGGCGTCGGGGGCCAAGTGAGTGTGGTCCCGGGCCGTGGCGGTGGAGGGGAAGGGTCCGGCCACCTGCCCAAAAGGGCCACCCAGCCGCCGTCTGGCCTCAGCACACCCCCCGGGTGCTGTGCCTTGCCTCCTAAAAGGTGCAGAATTGAACCTGGCGCACCTGATGTTAAGGAGAAGGTGCGTCTGGTTGAGGTTTTAACTAAGGTTTCAGGGTGGCGATGGACTGGGAAACCCTCATACACCTATTCAGAGGTGTACACGAGCTAGGCCATACTTAATGCCCCTTCCAGATGGGCGAGACAACCCGGATTCTAAATCAGTGCCCTGGAGTCGGGTTCAAGTTCAATTGTGGTGAACTGGGACAAGTCACTTTGACCTCTTGAATAGCTGTAGAGAGGAATTTCACTAGATGGAAAGGGAAGGGTGGGAGTTCTGAACCGCTGAAAGGTTTGAATTGGGTTGAGCTCTGTTGGAATTTGAGGTCACTGTTGGAGAACTAAAAGCCGGGAGAGCCTGGGTGGGGAAGGGAGGAGGACCCAGTGTGTTGTGGGCAGGGCCAGCCTGAAGGATAAGACTCAGGGCCCTGTGTGCCTGCAGAGAGCCAGGGAATGGCTCCTCAGCTTCTGGAAGGATGACCTTGGGCTGCTGGGAGAGAAGCGAGTGAAAATAATACAATGGAGGCAGGAAGGCTCCCTGATCCAGGTTTCTGGTTCTATTGTACCAGAAGGTGAAATTGCACAGGCAATGAGAGATCTAAAGTTCATGCTTTTCCTTGCCTCTCCTTCCTTTCTTCCCTCTGGGCCTCCTTGCTGGGACAAGGGTTTGTCATTAGATGTAGGGAATAAAAGGCTTGAGTAAACAGAGGAAGTGTTACCTGTCTTCTAGTAGTCTTACAGTCCATAATATATAAGTGAAAAGAAATTAAAACTGGGCGCCTGTAATCCTAGCTACTCAGGAGGCAGAGATCAGGAGGATCGTGGTTTGAAGCCAGCCCAGACAAACAATTCTATCTCAGAAAAACCCATCACAAAAAAGGGCTGGTGGAATGACTCAAGGTGTAGTCCCAGCACCGCAAAAGAAAGAAAAAAATTAAAACCTGGGAAACAGCCTCTTTACAGATCCCTTATTTTATGGAGGGCGTGATTTGGCCAGAGAAGGAAAGGGACTCCTGTTCTAGAATGCAAAAGAGAAGGAGCTCTGTGTGATCTTGTGCTACTTTGTAAGCTCATTATGGTGAGAATGGTTTTTATACTTATGAAGGATTTTGAGAGAGAGAGACAGAGAGAAATGTACCACTAGAGCTAAAATGTCATCTGGCCCTAAAGTCCAGGAGTTCTCCACACCAGTGGTTAAATCACGTGTAGGCATTATCTGTTTTTCTGCCATAAAAATGAAACCATGAATGATTTGGTTACTTCAACACTTGCCTTTTCATCCAGCTTTTTGCATCTTTTCTTGTCTCTGGAAATGAGAAGCCATTCATAGGTTTGGATTGCAGGCTCTGCTATTGCTAGTAGAGATCCCTCTCCTTCAGGGCACAGGATTAAAGAAAGTTAATTTTTTGTACCCAGAAAAGTTGGATTAGAGAGCTAAAGTGCCCTTCTTTTCCCTTGCCCAATCCTTCCTTCCTTCTGGGTCTCCTTGGCTAGAGACGAGGACAGCTGCTTGCTCAAATTTGCTTCCTTTCCTAGAATAATACCCATATGGTGTTTGTGACTTCAGCAGCAATGTCATTAATAGTATCATTAATAGTGACTCATTCTAGTCCACCTGTAGTCAGGTTCTCCTGACCAGGTTAAAAGCCACAGGCAAGTTCATGGTTGTGATCTGATGCCCACTTCCTTTACTCATTTTTTTGCTGTCCATAGGTATGTGGTCTTCACAACAAAACATCATGAAGGCTTCACAAACTGGCCAAGTTCTGTGTCCTGGAACTGGAACTCGAAGGACCTAGGCCCCCACCGTGACTTGGTTGGTGAGTTGGGAGCAGCTGTCCGAAAGAGGTGTGTGTCTCTAAGGACGGCCGCTCCACCGGCTCTTTAGATCCAGCTGTCCAGAGTTCCAAACCCTTTCTCCCCTTGTGTGTTTAAGTTTGCATTTAGCCAGTAACCTCAAGGACTTCTGGCCTTTGACTTAGCAGTGCTTGAGGCTTAGTAGTTTTCATGTGACCAAAGGTGACATCATCAGAGAAATTCCTGGCCATACCCAGTCGGGTGACCACGATGCTATGTGCCATCTGCAGCCTGCAAAGGTCTCATCTTTGTGCTCTCTTTAGCCATCAACACAGAACTTCCCAGGCCTTTGGGAGGGTTCAGATGATGATCAGTCAAGCTGGGGACTGAGAAGTGCAGTTAAAACAACAAAAAATAAAGAAAGGAGGCACACTGTTGACTGTCATTAATGCTTCCTGATATTTGTCATATAAGAGGAAGTAATTTCTCATGATCAAAAAGGTAGGGTAGAATGTTTTGAGTTTTGATGCTGGGAATTGAAACCAGGGCCTCATGCATGCTAAGTACAAGTTCTACCACTGAGCTAGACCCCCAATCCCATAGGTGGGATTTGAATTCGGGTTTTCAGGCTTTGAACCCTGCAGTATCAGTATGTTTGCTGTATTAAGGAAAAGGGGTATTTGTGCCATTCCCAACCTCACCTCTGCTGTGGCTTGGTAAACATGTCTGTCTGAAGGGTAGGCCTGCTGCCTGTTTGTATAACTCATAAATTCTGATTGGAATACAGCTATGCCTGTCATTTATGCATTGCCTAAGATTGCTTTCAAAGTACAGTTTGAGGGCTGAGACAAAGACCACAGGTTTTGTAAAGCCTAAAGCACTACACGGACTTTAAAAATGAGTTTGCCTTGGGCTGGAGGTGCTCACACAATAGAGCACCTGCCTTACAAGCAAAGTCCTAGTTCAAACCCCAGTACTGCCAAGACAAAAAAACAAAGAATAAGTTTATTGACTCCTGTACCAGCTCAATATTCATTTCCCAATGCTGTGCTCTGCCAGCAGTCCTGCTGTAAATGTCTGTTACAGCATGAGTGCCTCAGTTCTTATCTTTGTGTAAATATTTAGTCTGAGTCACATGAGGAAATTCCTAACTCTGGTTCTTTCTTCTATGTGCACTATAATGACTGCAATGTTATTCCTTTTTTTCTTCTTTCTTTGAGACAGAGTCCCTCTCTATATAGTCCAGGCTGGCCTCAAACTCACGATGTGTGCTGGGATTATAGGCATGAACCGCCACACTCAGCATTATCCTTACTTCTTACTTCCATTATAATGTTTTTGTAACACCATTTTTAATTGGTTCACAATTGTGCATATTTATAAGGCACACACTGTGATGATTTGATACATGTGCACAATATATAATCAAATCAGAAAAATGAACACTTCCATCTCCTTAAATATTTATCATTTCTTAAAAAAAATTCTTATTGCTTTATGTTGGGAATCTTCAAAGTCCTCTTTTCTAGTTTGTTATAAAATACATAATAGGAAGCCGGATGCCAGTGGCTCACGCCTGTAATACTAGATACTCAGGAGGCAGAGATCAGGAGGATCAGGGTTTGAAGCCAGCCAGGGTAAATAGTTCTCCAGACCCTATCTCAAAAATACCCAATAGACATACACACACACACACACACACACACACACAAAAAGGGCTGGTGGGGTGGCTCAGGTGGTAGAGGTCTGCCTAACAAACATGAAGCCCTGAGTTCAAAGCACAGTACCGCAAAAAAAATATATAAAAATTTAAAATTAAAAAATATTGAGCTGGTGGAGTGGCTCAAGTGGTAGAGCTCCTGCCTAGCAATCATGAGGCCCTGAGTTCAAAGCACAGTACCGCAAAAAAAAAAATAGTAATATATATATGTGTGTATATAGCTCCATACACACATATATATACACATATATGCATATGTGTGTATGCATACGTACATATTATAGGAATGGAATGGAGGTATAGCTCAGTGGTAGAGCACTTGCCTAGCACAATGAGGCCTTGGGTTCAATCTTCAGTACCACAAAAAAATAAATAAAAATATAATATACTGTTGTAAACTACAGTCACTCTACAGTGCTATAGAACACTAGAACTTTCTTGGAACTAACTGTACTTTGGTACCTCTAACCCAGCTTCCCTCTGTCCTCACACTTCCAGCCTGTAGTGAGTGACCTCTTTTCTGCTCCCTTCTGTGACACCATTCTTAAACCAAAACAAGCAATATTGTATAGGAAAATAGGTCACTTTAATCACATTTCATTTGGGGTATTTTAAGAATGATTAGGAAACCTTAGATAAATAAAATAATAAATGTATACTCACTCATTTCTACTATGTAGAAAATGTTATGAGTGATTATTTCTGATTGATGGTGTTTGGGGTATTTTTATTACTTATGCTGTTCTCTGTTTTCCAGTTTCTCTGCAAAATAAATTCTTACAATTGACAACAAAACATTTTTTAAAAATAGGACTGTATGTTATTGAGATAATTGACTTAAAAGGAGATAGTTTAAATGATATTTTGATGTTAAGATGTTTATATACAAAAAGTAGTTAGGAGAACTGGTCATGACGGGGCACACCCATAATCCCAGCACTTGGAGGCTGAGGCAGGAGGATTGTGAGTTCAAGACCAACCTGGACTACACAGAGAGACACTGTCTCAAAAAACCAAGGGCTGGGGATGTAGCTGAGTGTAGCGTACTTGCCTAGCATGTGCAAGGTCCTGGGTTCTATTCCCAGTACTGCAAAAATAAATGAGTAAGAGTAAAAGCTAAGTAGTTATGTATATCATCCAAAATACAGTAAACCCAATCTTTTTTTAAGTGAATGATAAGAAACCAGGCACTGCTGGCTCACACCTATTATCCTAGCTACCTGAGTGGGGGAGTTGAGATTGGGAGGATCGTGATTCAAGGCTAGCCCAGGAAAAAACTTACTGAGACCCCACCTCAATCAGTAGCTGAGTGCAGTGGTGTACACCTGTCATCCCAAGCTATGCTAGAGGTGGAGATCAGGAGGATCACAGTTCCAGCCAGCCTGGGCAAAACAGTTTGTGGGACCCCATCTCAATGGAAAAAACTGGGCATAGTGGCATATGCCTGTCATCCAGCAATGGCAGGAAACAAAATAGGAAGATCTTGATCCAAGTTGGTCTGGGTAAAAAGCAAGACCCCATCTCTAAAAATAACCAGAGCAAAAAGGACTGAAGGCATGGCTGAGGCAGGAAACTGCCTAGCAGGTGCAAAGCCCTGAGTTCAAACCCCAGTACCACAAAAAAATAAGTATGATAAGAAATAATTTAAGGAAATGGTTTATGCCCTTATGAATGAATTTCATGGAGACATAAAAATACTGGAACTGGTTGTTCTTAAAACTGTTTGTTCTTTGTTTAGTAACGGTTGCCGCACTGTTTTTCTGTTTAAGGAACATGCGCTATGGCCTCTACCACTCACTCTTAGAGTGGTTCCATCCACTGTACCTGCTTGATAAGAAGAATGGCTTCAAAACTCAGAATTTTGTCAGTGCAAAAACAATGCCAGAGCTGTATGACCTTGTGAACAGGTAAGACGTAAATGCTTTAGGCCTAATGATGTTAATCAATGAAGTCAGAGCTTCCTCTAGGATGCCATGGCAAGGGATGAGGAAGCACAGGCAGGCATGAAAAAAATCCAGAAGACATCAAAATAATAAAAGTAGTAATGCTAGGAGCCAGTTGCTCACGCCTATAATCCTAACTACTCAGGAGGGAGAGATCAGGAGGATCACAGTTCGAAGCCAGTCTGGGCAAGTAGTTCTCGAGACCCTAGCTCAAAAAACTCATCACAAAAAAAAAAAATGTTTTTTCCCTCTTCAAAACTTCTGTAATATGGTAATGTTGTCTTTATAAATTGAAAGAATCACACAAAAGCCAGGAGGGTAGTAAGTCAAAACCTCCTTTTCCTCCTGTGCCATTGTCCCTACGTTGGGACCTTGGAGAGGAACATGGGACTGGGTGCCACTGTCACTCACAAGCCTCATACAGATGATCCTGCTGAGCCTCAAGTTCTCACTCTGTGAAGCGGGATGAACACCTTCTGCATAGGGCTCAGAAGGACACATAGGAGATACCCGTCATTGCATGTGGTACAGAGCAAGGCTGCTGCTGTTAAGAGTCATCATTTATAAAATGACTGCTGTCACTTTGGGATTTGTCACTAATCTTTACCATGTTGTACCTGGAGGCTCATACAGAAAGAGGGACATGAAACTTAAGGGGAGCCACCTCTGCCTGGACACTCATTTTAGAACAAAGCAAAAATCTCCTCACTTCAGATTTTATCAATTCTATCCAGGTGACTTTGCTGAAGAAGCGATACAGTCACAGGAGACCAGCAGAGGCCCGCACAGACCCTGATGTTACTGGATCTGAAATCCTTGTCTTTTTCTTTTCTTTTTTGGTGGTGCTAGTATTTGAACTCAGGCCCTCATACTTGGTAGGCAGGAGCAGCACCATTTGAGCATTCCAGCCCTTTTTTCCTTTAGTTATTTTTCAGGTAGGATCTCACGTTTTGCCCACAGCCAACTTCAGACCATGATCCTGCTATCTTTAGGCCTCCTTTGTACCTGGGATCACAGGTGTGTGCCTCTATGCCGGCTTATGAATTGAGAAGGGGATTTTTTTGACTGCACTGTTCTCAAACTATGATCCTCCTGACCTCTGCCTCCCACATAGTTGGGATTATAAGAGTGCGCCACTGGTATCCTGCCCTGAGTATCAAACTCTTTACTCCGAAAGTGGGAATAATAATGCTTACCTCAAAGGGCTGTATCTTTGTATTTGCACACATGTACTCACCTTACAGGGATCACACTAATAATGTGTGAAAGGTACACTGGGCTCAGGTGGGTTCTCTACATCCTTTACAGTAGAGACAGTTGGGTGGTTGTCAAGAAAAATGAATTTGAGGAATAGTTCAAACTCAGCATATCTTAAAAGCAGAAACCTTAACTTGCAGTTCTCAAGTGCCACACTTCTTTTTGGTTTTTGTTTGTTTGAGATGAGGTCTGTCTGTGTAGCCCAAGCTTGCCCTGCTTCTGCCTCTGAGTGCTGGGATTATGCATGCCAGCACCATTCCAGCTTTTGGTTCATGTTTGTTTGTTTTTGTGGGGCTGTGGATTGAACCCAGGGCCTCATGCATGCTAGGTAAATACTCTTGTCACTGAGCCACACTCTCAGCCCTAATTTTGAAACATTTGTTGAAAAATCAGGTCATAATAGTATACTATGAATTTATTCAGATAGCAAACTGTTCTGATCCCCTGTCTTCCAGATACAAGCCTGATGTGATCTGGTCTGATGGGGACTGGGAATGTCCTGATACTTACTGGAACTCCACAAATTTTCTTTCTTGGCTCTACAATGACAGCCCTGTCAAGGTAGGTGATCACCTAACTTTTTTCTTTCTTTCTTTTTTTTGACAGTACTGGGGTTTGAACCCAGGGTCTCATGCTTGCTAGGCAGGCACTCTACCACCAGAGTCACTCCACCAGCCATTTTGTGTGTGTGTGTGTGTGTGTGTGTGTGTGTGTGTGTGTGTGTGTGTGTTGGGTATTTTTGAGATAGGGTCTTAAGAACTATTTGCCTGGGGCTGGCCTCACACTACCTCTTGATCTCTGCCTTCTGAGTAGCTAGAATTATAGGTGTGAGTCACCAGAGCCTGGCATTATTTCTTATTTATCTGTTATACTAAAATAAAGTATGGTCATGCGTGGTTGGTGCACACCTCCCAGCATCATTTGGGAGGCTGAGGCAGGAGGATCATGAATTTGAGGACACCTGGGCTACATAATGAGACCCTGTCTAAAAAAAAAAGCTGGCACAATGGCTCATGCCTGTAAATCCTAGCTACTTGAGAGGCAGAGATGGGGAGGATCACAATTTGAAGTCGGCTCAGGCAAAAAGTTGGCAAGACCCCCATTTCAATCAATAAAACAACTCAGGGTAGTGGCTCACACCTATCATCCCAGCTAAGCAGGAAGCATAAATAGAAGGATGAAACCTAGGCATAGAAGTAAGACACTATTCAAGAAATACCTATAGAAAAAAGGGCCAGGGATGTAGCTCAAATAGTAGAGGGCCTGCCTGGCAAGTGCAAGGCCCTGAGTTCAAACCCCAGCACTGTCAAAAGAAAAGAAAAGAAAAGAAAAGAAATAGTAGTAGCCACAGTATGGAGTACAATGAAGATGGCAGCAGTCACACAATAAACAGTAATATCACTGTGGGATGAGAGGGACCTGAAGAAAGTTGAAAGTTCCTCTTTTTATTCTTTTCCGTTGGAGCACAAGCTTGCTTTCTGTCCTTTAATTCTTGATTTTGATAACATAGGTTTGTTTGAAGTTTTTTTTGGTGGGACTGGGGTTTGAACTCAGGGCTTCAAGCTTACAAAATAGGCACTCTACCACTTGAGCCACTCCTCCAGTTCATTTTGCTCTGTTTATTTTGGAGATCAGTCTTCCGAACTGTTTGCCGGGACTGGCCTCAAACCGAAGTCCTCTTGATCTCAGCCTCCTAGGTAGCTAGGATTACAAGTGTGAGCCACAGGCACCCAGCAACATAGGTTTAGTGTTAAATTCACATAGTAGAATAAAAATAGTGTGTAGGCAACAAGGGGATTAAACTTTGAGCACATGATAAAAGCGAGAGCACACAAGGGAGTGGTGAGGATAGGTAAGACACCTAAAAAATTAGCTAGCAGTTGTTGCCCTCAACGCAGAGAAACTAAAGCAGATACCTTAAAAGCAACTGAGGCCAATAGGAAAAGGGAAACAGGTACTAGAGAAAAGGTTAGTTCAAGAAGAATTAACCTAGAAGGTAACACCCACGCACAGGAAATCAATGTGAGTCAACGCCTTGTATAGCTGTCTTTATCTCAACCAGCAAAAACCCTTGTTCCTTCCTATTATTGCTTATACTCTCTCTACAACAAAATTAGAAATAAGGGCAAAATAGTTTCTGCTGGGTATTGGGGGGGGAGGGGGAGGGGGCGGAGTGGGTGGTAAGGGAGGGGGTGGGGGCAGGGGGGAGAAATGAACCAAGCCTTGTATGCACATATGAATAATAAAAGAAAAAGGAAAAAAAATAGTGTGTAGAATTTCTACACCACTGCAGAGAAAATAAACTCTACTATATAAGGAAATATTATAAATGAGGAAAAATTAATATGCATGCATAAAATTAAGTGGTAGGAATAAAATGTGAATATCTGTGACCTTAATAATATAGTTTAATTCTCAAGGGGCAAGGTCACTTCCCTTAGATCCAATCCCTCCTGTGACCCACACTGTTACCAAGTGTTTAATGGCTGTCCATTTCCAGTTTTTATTACGTACTTTTACAAAGCACCCAAAGTTTTCACCTTCATTATAGAAAATTCAAAGATTTTTACATGGTCAAAATTTGTTGTGTTTTTTGTTTTGTTTGTTTTTGTGATACTGGAGCTTGAATTCAAGGGCTTTGTGCTTGGTGGGCAGACACTCTACTACTCCAGCCACTCTGCCAGCCCTTTTTTGTATTGGATATTTTCAAGATAGGGTTTCACAAACTATTTGCCTGGAGCTGGCATCGAACCTTGATCCTCCTGATCTCTGCCTCCTGCTGTGTTTTTTTAAGAAAAATCTTCAAAGTATAAACCAGTTTTGGAGTTCAGATATAGGTCAGTGATAGACAGAACCCAGGTTCAGTCCCCAGTAGAAAAGATCCTCTAAGGATCTTCTTGGGTGGCTATTACTAAACTCAGAAAATGGAAAGAGAATAGAAAGAAAAAAGATTGCTAGATGACCAAAGCAGATTAAAAGTGGTTTTCACTGGGTGTAGCTCAGTGGTGGAGCACTTTCCCAGTGTACCTGAGGCCTGGGTTCAACCTTCAATCACCAAAAAAAAGGTGGTTTTGAGTGTCTTGCCAAGTATGTCGGGACTTCAAGGTAGTTACCTGATGTAATGTTCTTACAACTGTCCATTCAGAGGTCTCCTCTGCAAATCGCTGCTTGATCTCTAAGGGTAAGAACAGGGTTTGCTCACCTTGGACGCCCCTGTACTTGCCATAGGATGAGTCCTGTAGTTTCTGAGTGAACAGCTACTGAGTGAGTGCGTGGCTTCTGAACCGAGAATTAGGATGATTAAGCCCCTTGTCTCTGAAGTGGCTTCTGCACACCCGATCCAGGTGCATACCCGTGAAGCTAGCTTGTATGCTCTGTGGGATCTCAGCCAAGTGTCTGTGGTTAAGAAGCATCAAGAAGCTGGGAGCCTATAGCTCATGTCTGTAATCTGTAATCGGGAGGCAGCGATCAGGAGGATCATGGCTTGAATCCAGTCTGAGCAAATAGTTCACGAGCCCCTATCTCGAAGAAACCCATTATAAAACAGGATGGAGGAGTGGCTCAAGGGGTAGAACACCTGCCTAGCAAGTGTGAGGCCCAGAGTTCAAGCCCCAGTACCATCAGAAAAAAAAAACCAAGAAAGGGCTGGCAGAGTGACTCAAGCAATAAGAGCGTGTGCCTCGCAGCGTGAGGCACTGAGTTTAAACCTCATTGCCACCAAAAAAGCATCAAAAAAATGGGAGGAAAAGCTAGAGGTGTGGCTCAAGTTAGAGTACCAGCCTAGGGAGGACGGGACCCTGAGAGAGAGAGAAGATTAGGCAAAGAAGCAGAGTTGAGAAAGGAAGAAAATATCAACCTCAATGTTGTTTAAAAAACACAACTAGCCAGGGAGCCTGAGGCTTTTTGGTCTCTCTTGAGTTTGGGGGTTATTTATTTATTTACTTACTGGTGGCACTGGGGTTTGAAACCAGGGCTTTGCATGGTAGACAGGTGCTCTACTATTTAAACAATTCCTCTAGCCCTTTCCTTGCTGGTTATTTTTGAGATAGGGTCTCACTTTTTTTCTCAGGCCTGCCGGCACTGCAACCTCCTATTTAGGCTTTCTGCTGTAGCTGGGGTGATAGGTGCATGCCAGGCCACCATGCCCAGCTGTTGCTTAACATTGGGGTGTCTCAAACTTTTGCCCTGGTTGGTCTTGAACTGCAATCCTCTCAATCTCAGCCTCCCAGGTAACTGGGATTACAGGTGTGAGCCACTGGCACCCAACTTTAAAAAAATTCCACAGCAAGCAAGACCTTTGGTGTGTTTGCATCTGAGTGGTTGAATAGTTACCTAGCATGCCCAAGACCCCAAGTTTGTTCCTTAGCACTGCAAAAAAAAGAAAAGAAAATGAATATTTGTGGGCATTCTGGTTTAGTTTTTGTTTTTGTTTTGAGACAGAGTGTCTCTTTGTAGCCAAGGCTGGCCTTGAACTCTTGATTTATCTGCCTCAGCATCCCAAGTGCTGGGGCTGTAGTATGTGCTTCCACTTGCAGCTTGTGGTGTTTTTGTTTTGTTTGATACTGGAAATTGAACCCAGAAGTTTGTGTGTGCTAAGCACATACTCTATCACTGAGCTGTACCCCAAGCCCACAAAAGTTAATCTTTGCTGACTTCTGTTTATGTAAAGAAATTCAGATGGCATGACACAGCCATGCCTGTGATCCTACTTCCTCAGGAAGCAGAGGCAGGAGGGTTGCAAGTTTGAGGCCAGCCCAGGCAAGACCCTATCTCAAAAAAAAGTAAAATAAATAAAACCAAAAAGGACTGGGGGCATGGCTCAAGTAGCAGAGCACTTGACTAGCTTGTACATGGTCCTGGGTTCAATCCCCAGCACAGCAGGGGGCGGAGATAAAAAAGAAGTAAGAAAGTCAGGGTTGTGTCTGGAAGGCTTCTTCGTTTAGGGGTATAACCTCAGGCAAGTTCCTGCCTCTCCATCTCTCATCTCATAGAAGTGGTCTCCCAGGTGTCTTTAAAGTGGCCTTCTAAGCTCGGACATCATAACCCTAGACACAAGTATCTCAACCTGGGCAATATTGACATCTGAGGCCCAGTGTTACCCTGTTGTGAAACTGTTCTGTGCATTGTAGGATGTTTAACAGCATCACTGACCTCTGCCCACTAGAGGGCAGTAGCACCACCCAGGTGTGACCACCAAACAGTTGTTCTAGACTGCCGAATGCCCCGGTGGAGAACCACTGCCTTAGACTAACTGTCCCTTGCTTCCAAGTAGACTTGCCCTACCAAGCTGCATTACCTACAGAGCTAAGTGGCGTTACTCCAATGACCAGCCTCCTTCCTCCTTTAGGATGAGGTGGTAGTGAATGATCGATGGGGTGAGAACTGTTCCTGTCACCATGGAGGATATTACAACTGTCAAGATAAGTACTCACCGCAGAGCTTGCCAAAACACAAGTGGGAGATGTGTACCAGCATCGATGAGAGGTCCTGGGGCTACCGACGCGACATGGCCATATCTGACATCACGAGTGAATTCGAAATCATTTCGGTACGAGCACCCCTGCGTTAGTTTATTTTCCTCAAACCAGCCATCCAACCAGGAGTGGTGGAAGTGTGTGGATGGAGGTGCAGTCGAGAGAACCCTGCAGGACATACCAACAGAAACCTGTCCTAGGACAGAATTATAATGCAGAGAAAGCTTAACATACAGAACTGTCCCCCAGGGTTATTTTCAACTTGACATATGGGTATAACTAAGTATAATTCAGGGATAATTTAGTAGATTTGAAGATTATCCTTCACCATTAAAATGTTAACAAATGTAGCTAGGCACAGTGACTCACTTCTGTAATCCTAGCTACTTAAGAGATGGAGATCAGAAAGTTCAAGCCCCCATCCCAGTCAATAAAAAGGTGGGCAGGGGGCATGCATCTATCATCCCAGAAAGCATAAACGGGAGGATCTACTGCCAGAGTGACTCAAGTATCGCACCCCTGCCTAACAAGGGCAAAGCCCAGTTCAAACTCCAGTACCCCCACCCCACACATACACACACAAATAGGATCACAATCCAGGCTGGCCTGGGCATGAAAGCAAGACCCTATTCAAAAAATTTGAAAGCAAAAGGGCTGAGGGAGTGGGTCAAGTAGTAGAGTTCCTGCTTAGCAAGTGCAACACACTGAATTCAAACCCCAGTACTGCCAAAAAAAAAAGTTGGTGAATGTAATATGGGTTAATGTTTAAGTTGTCCACTGAAAAAACGGTTACATTATTGCAGCTGTATAAAATTAACTGCACAGGAAAAAGAGGGGAAGGAGACATCAAAAGTTAATTGTGTGGCATCTTGGAGTACTGTGGCAGAATCTTCTTTTTACTTTTTCTATATTTAACCTGGTCTTTTGAAGTACACTTGGTTGAGATCACAGTGAACACACACACACAAGTCTGACTCCAGAAGCCTTACAGTTTTCCCAAAGGGGCAACATGAACTTTCACTTGGCCCATCACGTAACGAGTGTCTTGCAATCCTTCCCAGCTCTGCCAGCTCCCCACAGTCTACAGCAGCCTGCACAGTCTCTGCTCTCTGACTCCTATATTTCCTGTCCACCAGTCAGCCATCCCGTGCTCCATGTGTCCCCTTCATGGCCAAGAGCATTCTTCTCCACCTCCCGACTTGCTCCTGCTTCTCAGACACGACCCTTCCCACTGCACCCAGCACTGGGAAGTGCAGTCTTACAGGAAAGTGCTCTATGCCCGCTTCTTGCAATTTGAGCTAATATATTTCATCATTTTATTGCAGAAAATGAAAATCTTTCATTTTTTCATAAGAGCCTGTCCTGCTTTGAAAATAATCAAAAAAGAAACCCAAAGTAGGAAGAATGTGCCATGGGGTCCTCATCACCTTTTCTCTTCTTTTAATATCTGTGTGTTGCAAGCACTGTGCTGGGTGTGGCATTCACAGTCTGGCTTTCATTGTCCTGCCCTTTTTTAGGAACTGGTTCAGACAGTAAGTTTGGGAGGCAATTATCTTCTCAATATCGGACCAACTAAAGATGGACTGATTGCCCCCATCTTCCAAGAACGGCTTCTTGCTGTTGGCAAGTGGCTGAATGTGAACGGGGAGGCAATCTATGCTTCCAAACCATGGAAGGTCCAGTCGGAGAAGAACACGACATCTCTATGGTGAGCCTTGTCTTCTGATGGCTGTGGGAGGAGCACTGAGGCCTCTGCTGACCTGGCATATCCTCAGTGCCTTCCAGCCTGCCAGAACTGGGCTTGAGGGAACCCAAAAAATTTGTGTCATAGTTGGGTTATGTCTAAGGCCACCAGAATATCTTTGACTGGAGAGGGAGGCGGTGGGCTTGTACAAAGGGAGGGGCTACATTGCATCAGGGGGTTCAGTTCTGATAATTACCCTGCCCCTAAAAATAGTGTTGATGCTCAGGTGTCACCTCCACGTGCAGGCTCCCTTCTGAGTTTTTCCATTTGGACTTGGACTTCTGATCTTAGGCCTCAGTTTCTTTTCAACAGCAAAATGGACTGATGATACTTCATAGAGTTGTTTTGAAGATTGAATGAGGTAATTATGTAATGTACCAACAGAAGAAACTAAGTGTCAAAGGAAACAGCTAGTGTTACATCAAAGAGCTTCGTCCTTGGGTCAGGGGAAACGCAGGAATCCTTCTGTTTTTGATGAATGTCTATTTAGTGATTTTTCATCTCTTTCCTAAACATGGTGAAATCTTAGAACAACCAATTTGTCTTCATTGTGTATCTTCCCCTTGTCATATCCCCTACTATTTCTCATGGATTTAGAGTTGGAGAAATACTTGAATAATAAGGTAACTGACTTCATGAAAATAACTAGTGTAAAAGCTACTGTGTTGTTTTTGAATCACTGTGTTGCCCAGGCTGACTGCAAACTCCTGGGCTCAGCGATTCTCCTGCCTCAGCCTCCTAAGTAGCTGAGTAACAAGCGTGTGCACCATGCACAGCAAGAATTCATTTAATTTTCTTATTTTAATTTTTTTATTCATATTTTTTTGCTGTATCGGGGTTTTTTTGTTTGTTTGGGACCGAGGTTTGAATATAGGACTTCATATTTGCAAAGCAAGCATTCTACCACTCCAGTCCATTTTGCTCTGGTTATTTTGGAGATGGAGTCTCTCAAACTATTTGCCCTGGATGGCCTCCCAATCTCAGTCTTCCAAATAGCTAGAACTACAGGCATGGTCCACCAGTGCATGGTTTGTGCTGACGTTTGAACTCGGGGCCTTGAGCTTGCTAGGTAGGCACTCTACTGCGTGAGCCATGCCCCCAGTCCAAGAGTTAATTTTCAAAGCAAACTTTCTCTGCATGTGATAGTACTCATGTAATACCAGAACTTGGGAGGCTTAGCAAGGAGGATCACAAGCTCAAGGCTTGCCTGGGCTACATCATGAAACCCTGTCCCAAAATAATTAATTAGTTAATTAATTGAAAAAAGAAAATTTAACCGAGTTGAGAGGGAAAATAGGAGCTATCAAAAAGTTTTATAGACTGCTTCCTTCCTACAGACCTTAATTGGTATTGAGATTTCATTGCTTCCGAGTGACAGTGATAGACTCAGGACGAGGGGAATGTGTGAGCTTATGTATCAGGTAACAAGTCAAGTGTCTTGGACAATAGCATTTCCTTTTTCCCAGGTATACTGCAAAAGAATCAAATGTTTATGCCACTTTTCTGCACTGGCCGGAAGGTAGAGTCTTAAGCCTTGAATCCCCCATAAGTACCTCGAAAACGAAGGTAAGGAGGCTCGGCCGGGCCTTCTCTCCCCCTCCTTCCTCCCCAGCTTCCCCCTGGTCTGTGTCCTATTAGACCATCCTCCCCGCCTGGCCCAGCACCAGCGTTTCCCGCCATGATCAGGCCATCAGTACTCACTAGTACCTTCAGTCCTTGGTTTTTCCACTGCCTTTTGCTTTCTGCAGGTTACCATGCTGGGAATCCAAGAAGAGCTGAAGTGGACCAAAAACCCCAGTGGCGGTCTCCTCATCTTCCTGCCACTGCTGTCACCCTCAGCTCTCCCGGTGGAGTTTGCTTGGACTGTGAAGCTGACAGGAGTGAAATAATCCAGGAGAGTGACACTACCTACTGTGTGCTGCTTTAATTTTCTCTTACAGCACTGCCCTTGTAATAAAGTAACTTCTCTTTCCCACTCAGAGGTGGCTTTTCTGACATATTTCCTTTTTTTTTCTTTTTTTTTGGTGGGACTGGGGTTTGAACTCAGGGTCCTGGTCTTGCTAGGCTTGTGCTCTGCCACTAGAGCCAAAAAAACCTTTTTGCTATAGGTTTTTGTTTTTATTTTATCTTGAATAGGGCCTCATTTTTTGCCCAGGTTAGCCTGGGACTTCAATCCTTGTCCTACCTATGCTTCCCATGTAGCTCAGATTACAGGCATGCTCTATCACTCTTAGTTTATCTGTTGAGATGGAGCATCAAGAACTTTTTGCCTAGGCTGGCCTCAAGCCACAATCCTCCCTATTCTGCCTCCTGAGTAGCTGGGATTATAAGTATGTGCTATCACATTCAGCTAGTCACATACTCTTTATTAAGCATTACTTGTCATCAAGCTGTTCCCCAAAAGGTAGGAGAGTCTGGAAGGGAAGGAAAAGGCTTGCCAGGTTCCTAACGGTCAACTCCACAGACGTTTCCAAACTAAACCAAGAGCTCTGAAGTTGAGAATATTTATACTGATACTGATAACATAAAAAATGATTCTGGGGCTGGAGGGTGGCTCAAATGGTAGAGTTCCCATCTAGCAAACATGAGGCCCTGTGTTCAAACCCCAGGATCACTAGAAAAGGAAAAGAAGCCAGGCTCCACAGTGGCTTCTGCTTGTAATTCTCACTATCTAGGAGGCTGAGATGGGGAGGATTTGGGTTCAAGGCCAGCCAGACAAATAGTTGGAGAGACTCCATCTCCAAAATAATCAGAGCAAAATGGACTGGAGGAGTGACTCAAGTGGCAAAGAGCCTGCTTTGCAAGCATTAAGCCCTGAATTCAAAGCTCAGTCCCACCAAAAAAGAAAAGAAAAGCTAGGCATAGTGGTTCATATCTATAATCCCAGCTACTCCAAAAACAGAGACAGTGAGGATCAAAGTTCAAAACTAACCTAGAAAAGTCCCCATCTAAATCCATAAGCTGGACATAGTGGTGTGTGCTTATGATCTCACCTGTGCAGGAGGCCTTAGATAGGGAGAATCAAGGTAAAGGCTGGCCCAGGCAAAAATGTGATGCCCTACCTGAAAATAACAAAAGAAGCTGGGTGCAGTGGCTCAAGCCTGTAACCTAGCTACTCAGGAGGCAGCGATTGGGAGAATCACAGTTCCAGGGCAGTCTGGACAAAGTTCATGAGTCTCCATCTTCAACCAATGGCTGGACAGAGTAGCACACATCTGTCATCCTAGCTACATGAAGGATTGCCATCCAGCTGGCCCTGGGCATAAACATGAGACTATCTCAAATGGCTGACAGAGTGGCTCAAGCAGTAGAGTGCCTGCCTAGCAAGTGTGAAGCCCTGAGTTCAAACCCTAGTACCATAAAAAAAAAAAGTGTTTCTGCCCTGCCTTTTTAGATATTATCAAATAAATGTGTAAATTGAATTATTTGTACAAAAAGTGTGCAGTAACTTTCTTCCGTAGTGTCAGTTGGGATGGAGTTTGGACTGCTTACAGCTTTATGGTCAGTCCCTGGTTTCTTTGTTTTCAGAGACAGAGTTTCCCAGGTCTCTTTAATGCAGAACTGAGGGTGTAATTCCTGTGGTTTTTCTGCTCTTCGCCTCTGTTTCCTTTCTTCTGAGTAGACTACCAGGTCATCCTCGTGAACTGTTACAGATATATTTGGATTTTCTAGTTCTTTATTTAAAAGAGATGTTTAGAAATCTTCACCCAACATTTAAGTAATGTTTTTCTCAAGCATGTATTTAAAAATCTCAAACACCAAAGAAGCAGTATCAGTAAGCTGCATAGTGGTTCTACCACATAATTAAGGGGTAGAAACAAAATACATGAAGAGAAAATCTCTAAGGAAAAGACATAGCCTTCCACACTTATGTTGAAGGCTGAAATGTAAAGAGCTATTTAACCTCAGTATAAAGAAATTGGGGTCTGAGCACGGTGGTACATGCTTATAATCCTAGCTACTTTGGAGACGGAGACAGGAGCATCAGTCTGAGACCAACCCAGGCAAAAACAAGAGACCTTATCTGAAAAATGAACCAAAGCAAAAAGTACTGGGGGCACCAGGCACATTGGCTCATGCCTGTAATCCCAGCTACTCAGGAAATGGAAATTGGGCAATGGAGGTTCAAGACCATCTTGAGCAAAAAGGGAGGCCCCCATCTTAATAAACAGAACAAGCAAAGGGGCTGGGGACATGGCTGAAGTGGTAGAGTGTCTGCCTAGCAAGTGCAAAACTCTGAGTTCAAACCCTAATACTACCAGGAAACTAAAATAGGCATTGTGACACAAGCCTGTAATCCCAGCTATGCAGTAGGCTATAGATAAAAGGACTGCAATCTGAGGCCTGCCCCAAGAAAAAGCATGAGACCCTATCTGAAGAATAAGGAAAGCAAGAAAGGCTGGGGCATGGCTCAAGTGGAAGTTCACTTGCCTGGCAAGTGCAAAGCCTTGAGTTCAAACCCTAGTACTGCCAAAAAAAGAAACCAGGTGGGGAGAAAAGAAAGAAGAAAGGAAATTAAAAGCAGAAATTAAAGAAGAGGAGGACTGGTGGAATGGCTCAAGTGGTAAGAGCCCCTACCTAGCAAGTATGAGGCCCTGAGTTCAAACCCTAGTGCTGCTTTAAAAAAAAACAGTGAAAAGTTCCCATTTAAGATCCCTAAAAAAATAATTAGCAAGAGACTCCAACCATCCCAGCTTTGACAGCCCTAAATGTCCAACCGCCACTTCCCACCAGAAAGAGGCAAGATAGTGCCTCACTGAGTGTGTGGAGTGTCTCCAGCAAATCTTGTTGGGTGAGTCCACAGTTGATCTTCCTGACAAAATTGTGGTGCCACATGTGTCCCCAACTGTGGAATCTGACAGAAGATAACCAAAAGTCTGGGATACGATGTGTGTGTGTAGGCAGCGGGGAAGGGTTCAGAATGGATCACATGGACAAGATATGATCCAGCTCTGGAAACTGAATCTCAAAGTGTGGCCCCAATATAATGTTGTGTAAATCCGGGCTCTTGGGCCCTACTTGAGGACAACTATGAAAATAAATCCAACTCCTTTTAAAATCAAGGCCTCAACACTGTTCCCAACTCAAGACTTCCAGATCACGTCTAATGTCGGCAGCTGTCAGCTGTGATTCCAGAGACCCAAGGTGTGGGGACACTGGGGTGGGGGGTGGTGCACATACTCATTTGTCATGAAATCCTAGTATGACAAATTATTTTTGCACTATGTATATCTTAGGAAGCTATCAAAATTGACCTCTAAAGTCTCTCAATGGGCTGGAAATCTTCCAGGCATGGTTCCCGGAGGTAGGCAATCCTGCCATGTCTGGGGACAGGAGATGGAACTAAGGAGACTTTGTCCACAATCCAGACCCTGTGCTCGTGGGGACTCCCAGAACCACATGCCTAGATGGCCAGCTTCAAGATGGCAGAAAGAGCAGGGCACCAGTGGCTCACGCCTGTAATCCTAGCTACTCAGGAAGCAGAGAGCAGGAGGATCACGGTTGGAAGCCAGAGCTGGCAAGACAGTTCATGAGACCCTATCTCAAAAAACCCATCCCAAAAATAGGGCTGGTGGAGTAGCTCAGGGTGAAGGCCCTGAGTTCAAACCCCAGTACTGCAATAAATAAATAGATAAAATGGACAACTTAGTATATTCACAGGTTGCCCAACCATCACCATGATAATTCTAGAAAATTTCATCATCCCCAAAACAAACTACACTTTTTAGTAATCATTCACCATCTCTCCCCAACAACCTCCTAGCCAGAGGCAACCATTGATTTTTTCGAGATAGGGTCTCACTAACTATTTGCCCAAGCTGGCCCTGGGTTCGATCCCAGCACCAAAAAAGAAAAGACAAAAAAAAATGGTATTTACTATTAATAATATTATTATTGTAAACTTTGAACTGAGGGCAGGTCACAGTTCAAAAAAGAAAGCATCTCGGCTAAGGTAAGATTCCAGCTTAGGGTCATGGTGAGCAGAATCTCAAACAGCTGCTAGATGATCCTCCTCATCTCTGCCTCCTGAGTAGCTAGGATTACAGGCGTGAGCCACTGACGCCCAGCTGGTTTTGTTTTTTTGGTGGGACTGGAGTTTGAACTCTCTTCCCAGCACCTAGCTCTAACTTGTGCTTTAGCATAGCAGCCCTTTAGTAAAATGTCTATTTTCTCTGTAGAGCTGGGAGCAAAAGGAAGAGGAAAGAGAGAAATAGTCTTATCACACAGTGAAGAAAGCATGGCTTGGGTCTGAACTTACCTACGCGATGTAATCTTAGGAAAGTTAGTTAATGTCACTTAATTTTGCCTTCCTGGTTTCTTTCGTTCTTTCTTTTTGCAGTACTGAGGCTTGAACTCAGGGTCTTCACCTTGACCACTCCACCAGCCTTATTTTTGTGATGGGTTTTTTGAGATAAGGTCTCTTGAACTATTTGCCCAGGCTGGCTTTGAACCACGATCCTCCTGATCGCTGCCTCCTGAGTAGTTAGGATTACAGAAGTAAGCCACCGGCTCCCAGCTGGCTTCCTCATTTCTAAAATGGAAAGCATAGTATCCATCTTGCAGAGTTTGTGATAAATAGCTTGTTTAAGCTACTATCTATCACAACTGACATGCAAAATGTGCTTCATAAATGGTATTTACTGGGGCTGGGATGTAGCTCGGTGGTATGGCGCTTGCCTAGCATGCGTGAGGCCCTGGGTTCGATCCCAGCACCAAAAAAGAAAAGACAAAAAAAAATGGTATTTACTATTAATAATATTATTATTGTAAACTTTGAACTGAGGGCAGGTCATAGTTCAAAAAAGAAAGCATCTCGGCTAAGGTAAGATTCCAGCTTAGGGTCATGGTGAGCAGAATCTCAAACAGCTGCTAGTGTTCCCCTTTCAGAAACTATTCACTTAGTGCGAGCATGTGTTTGGTATCATTACTCCCCAGGCCCATTTCGCCCACTGTATGGTATGCTGATCACAGAGCCAGCGAGTATCCAAAAGAAAAGCAGATCATTCACAAGGCAGCCCCATGTAGGGGACAGGCCCAACTCCCAAATCCACCTCCCCAGGGATAGGGCTTGGAGACATTTATGGGATGAAGAAGCAGGGCTGTCAGGTCTGGAGGTGTGGCCTAAGTAGTAGAGCACCTGCCTCATTAAGCGCAAGACCTTTGTTCAAACCCCAGTACCAAGAAGTAAG